TTAATAACATTTTAACCATACAAATGTAACCTAGGTAAAGCTGAGGATCTCTCCCGATTTACCAGCTCTTCCCACGCAACTCATCAATAGTAACACATCAGATAAGCTGAACTATTTCTAGCATCTTTTTATAAAAAATATGTTTTTATTGATTTCAGAGAGAGGAAGGGAGAGGGAGAGAGAGAAACATCAGTGATGAGAGAGTCATTGATAAGCTGTCTCCTGCACACCCCCTACTGGGGATCCAACCCGAAATCTGGGCATGTGCCCTGACCAGGAATCGAGCCATGACCTCCAGGTTCATGGGTCAACACTCAACCACTGAGACACATCCGCTGGGCTCTAGCATCTTTTTGTATAAGGAAAGAGATCTTGGTGAATTTTCAGGGGTCCTGTGTGAAATCTCAAAAGTAGTTTTAGGTGCAAAAGAGATCTTGAAAATTAATTTTATTTTGTTGTTTTTTCAATATTTAAGTCCAATTTAGGGAAGGCAAAAATAAAAAATGTCAGAGGAGATTGGGACACCTGATGAAGATAGGATCACAGGTGCCTGAGAAACAACACTGGTTACCTTTTTCTGTTTGTTTGTATGTTTTATTAAGCCTCATCTGAGGATATTTTTTTCCATTGATTTCTAGAGAGAGTGGAGGGAGAGAGGAGGAGAGAGACAGAAACATTGATGTGAGACACATCGACTGGCCACCTCCTGCCTACAACCTAGGTACATGCCCTTAACCAGGAATTCAGCCTTCGACCCTTTGGTGCTGCAGGAGCCCGTGCTCTAACCACTGAGAACACCGGCCAGGGCAATGCTGTTTATCTATTTAACAAAGTGACAATAAAACATAAAAAGAAACATAGAAAGCAATATTATTATAAAGAACTTAAGTGAGAAAACTTTGTTCTTTTAATTTTTTCCTTCAAAAATTAATAACATAATAAAGTCCATATAAAGCAAAGGAAATTATTCTGGGAAAAACAGTCTTTGCTGTCTAGGCAGATTAGATTGAATGGAAAAAATAATCATCCATGTTGTGGGCAAAGGCAATAAACAGTAAACCAAGGAGATGAGCACATAAGTCCATCAAAACTGAACAAACTATGATAGGAACACAGCTTCCAAGTCTCAGGTATTAGCCTTGGCCAGGTAGCTCGGTTGGTTAGAATGTTGTCCCGATACTCCAAGGTTGTGGGTTCTATTCCTGATCAGAGCACATACAAGAATCAACCAACAATGGACAAATAAGTGGAACAACAAATCAACTTTTCTCTCTCTCTCTCCCTCTCCCTTCCTCTCTCTCCAAAATCAATAAAAACATATTTTTAAAAAGTTTACAAAAATTATGTTTAGCCCGGCCAGGATGGCTCTGTGGTTGAGCATCGACGGTGAGGAAGTCACGGTTTAAATCCTGATCAGAGCACATGCCCAGGCTGTGGGCTTGATCCCCAGTAGGGGGCTTGCAGGAGGCAGCCGATCAATGACTCTCATCATTGATGTCTCTCTCTCTCTCTCTCTCTCTCTCTCTCTCTCCCTTCCTCTCTCTGAAATCAATAAAGATATATTTTTTAAAAAAATTATGCTTATTAATCAGTGTTTCTGTTTTCTACCTTATGTAGAAATACCCTGGGCATCTAATGAATATCCATTAACTAACTCAATCTAACATCAAAGTTTTCAGTTACTTAAAGATCTTGGAAATTATCTTCAAGTAGACATACTACAAAACACAATTGCTGTTGAAATAAATTTAGCAGAATAATGATTCATTTGAGTCAAACACAAATATATATTTTTCATAATCTTAAATATTACATTGGAGTACTAGCCACTTATTTTATCAGTAAACCGGCATAAATTTAGGAAAAAACAAACCCCAGTACTGTCAAATAAAATGTACACTTATGTTATACTTAATATTGATAATCAGAGAAAACATAATTGTTTTTATTAAACCAAAGTTACTAAACTGGTTTCATTTGCTAAAGATTTACTTTAATTACATGAATCTGGATTCTTTAAAAGTCTCTAAATTAGTTTCTGAAAGAAGAATTTTTTCAAGTCTACCACACTTAAAAGTATTAGAAGTTTAATTTCCTCATTTTCTTGGAATTTAGGAATATTTGATTTGTATAAGTGCTTATTTCTGTCCATATGCCAATCAGAACAGAGCTCCTTTAAGAGGCTTCACAAAATAATTTGTTGATGCCTTCCGGAGATAGAAAAACAACAGTGCACACTCACACATCATATTGAGTGACACACAGACACAGAGTTTAAAGCTTCAATTCTACATTGTTAGCCCTCCGGGCAAGAGCTGCAAGAGGTGCAGACTAACAAACCAGATGCCCTGTTATCTTTCACCCATCCATTCATTCACAGAACTCACTAAATGGTCAGATCATAAACCAAAACCCCAATCATTGTTGCCACAGATGGGCAATAACTTGGCTACAAACAAACCAAAATGAACATTTAACATCCAGCTGGACAGGCAGTATGGCCTGGCCTCGGCTATCTATTTTTCTGCACTTTGGCTATTGACTGCTGCTGGAATAACCCTTCTAAAACTCCACACTTATCTCATTGGACTCCTGCTCAAGAACCCACTGTGGCTCCCTCCCTCCTGTTACCATGTTAATTCAGCTGATTATGTCCTCAACTTCCATGCCAGCCAGTCATCTGTCTGAATATACATTGAGGCCATGGCGCTTACTGTAAGTCAATCATCACAAGAAAGGCCAGAGATGACCTCTGCTCTGAGTCTGTGTCATTGGATGGACTTTAGGGATCACTGGGAACGTCAGTTTCCTGAGGGCAGAAGTTTTGCCTGTTTTGTTCACTATTATATCTGACACAGTGCTTGGCACACTGTAGAGACTCAGTCAATATATGTCAGAAGAATAAATGAAATGACTCCTGAATCCTCAGCTGAGTCTGGAGGAAACTAAGGCACAGAATGGTGAGGTGACTGGCTTGGGGCCATGGGTTGAGTAATGGAGAAACCAGGATTTAACCTGGGTCCCCAGTTACTTACCAAGTGGCATATCTGTTTCTTTTCACAGCCCCTTTCCTCATGCCTTTCCTGGCACCACCCACACCCATTTCAAGGAAACACTCACTGGGCAGCTGTCAGCTTCACAGGGTGGGCCTCAGCTTCACAGAGCTACCTTCCCTGAAGTCACACCCTGCCTGCGCCAGCCCACATCGTGACTGAGCTGAGCAGAGGTAAAAAGCTGGGCATTTCCTCCCAACAGGGCTGAGCTCTGACTGGCAATGCTTGCTCCAGAGCTGACCACTGGGCTGCCAAGGCTTCGTGGGGTCTGCATTGCAGTTCAACTGTCCCACACTTGGGGTAACACAGACTGGGATGAGTACCCCCATGTAGAATTGACACCATAAGGGCATTAATGGTAAAATAATTAACAGAGGCTCAGATTCAAGGTCACGACTGAGTCCTCAAGGTTGGAATGGAGCAAAAGGGCACTGATCACAATGAACACAATTCCAAAATTCAAGATCAGATCAGAAGACAATAGCTGGTAGAGTATCATACAGAGGCCCTGGTTTGAGAATTGACCAGTGGTACACTGATGGGGTAATAATTAACTAAGGCCCAGCTTTAAGCTCAGACCAGAAAGGCTCTTGAAGTAAACGCACAGATTCCAAGTCAGACAAAGGACATGGAACAGTTAGTGGAGGCCTGGAATTGAGGCAAAACTAGAGTGGCATTGATGGCGGAATGGTTAAGAGTTCCAGATCTGATGATAAACCAGAGGCACAGTGATGAGGGACAAATTGACAGAGGCCCAAATTTGACCAATAAGATTTTTATTATATGCTCATTATTTATTTCCCCTTGGGTTGTAACTCAAGAGAAGCTGTCATGAAGATTACTTTATTTATTTTTTAAAGTTTTTAAAATTGATTTTTAGACAGAGGAAAGGAGAGGGAGAGAGAGAAACGTCATCAATCAGCTGCCTCCTGTATGCTCCCTACCGGGATCAAGCCCGCAACCCGGGCATGTGCTCTGACCAGGAATTGAACCAGCAACCTTTTAGAGCACGGGATGACACCCAACCAACTGAGCTACACCTGCCAGGGCTGAAGATGATTTTAAAGCAGAATGTCACCTCAGACTTTTTCAATTAGAAAACCCCCAAAGTCATGTATAACAACATCCATAATCAGCCATCTTGAACTCAGACTCAATAAAGAACATGAAGTGTGAAGAAAAGAAAGTGTTAGAGAAAAATGAGGTTCTCCCAAATGATCTTGCCCATCCACTGACCTTGGCTGGAATAGAGAATCCTTTTGGTTTTGCATGCTGTGCAGAAGAGTTAACAGAGCAGGTCTGAACTGCTGTCCTTGGAAAGGTCTTGCTGTCCTGCTTCAAGGTTAGTGCTTGGCTGGCATTTGGAAGCTTAAGACTTCAGAACAGTTCTCACCACTCTGTTCATACAAGCACTGTGGTTTATGCTGGACTTCTGCTTCCCTTCTGGGAATCTGTAAGTTGCATATGTGCCAGGAAGGGGCTGTCTAGGTGACCAGCCACCAATAGAAACCTTGAGAGCTGAGTCTCTAAGGAGCTTCCCTGGTTGGCAACATTTCGCACATGTTGTCACAACTCAGGACTGGGGGAATTAAGTGTGTCCTGTGCAACTCCACTGGGAGGGGATCCCTGGAAGCTTGTGCCTGGTCTCCCCTGGACTTCACCCCATGGGCCTTTTTCCCTTGCTGATTGATCTCTGTATCTTTTTGCTGGAAGAAATCATCGCTGTGTATATGCTGAGACTGAGCATCCACCTAGCAAATCATTGAGTCTGGGTGGTCGTGAGGACCTCCAACACACATACATACATGATCTTGATCATGAACAGTCCAGCTCTCCGCTGTCCCCATCTCATCACCATTTACCTTAAGCTCTCAGATGTAAGTACAGTAAGTCCTCACTTAATGTTGTCAATAAGTTCTGCACTTTAAGCAAAATGACATATAACAAAACCAATTCTACCACAGGCTAATTGACATAAACACGAGTTAAGTTCCTACGGCATCTTGTCAACATTATAACAAAACGACATTGAACAAAACAATGTTATTCAAGAACCTGTTGTACTAGGTAGAAATGCTCTGGCTACAAGTAACCACATCGTCAATAACAGTGGCCCGAACAAACAGGAGGTTATTTTCCTCCCTCAACAGACTGCTGGTGTTAGTTCAGTAGCTCAACAGTATTGGGCCAGGTTGGAGTCTGTGACTCTGTGGACTGACCCTGAGGTCTCAAGATGGTAGTCACACTTCCCATTGATGCATCTGGACATGGCAGCCTACGGAGGTGGAGGGAAGAGAGCAGCTGGACCAAGAGCCTCTTTGACATTTCCTGGTGACTCAGGTCATTGATAAGGGATTTTGGTTATCTATTCCCCTGTTTATACCCCAAGCTTTCTGACCACACTCAGAGCTCCCCTCAAATACTGGAACATCACTTGGTAGCCTCTGAGCAGTTCTAGGCCTTGACTTTGGGCCTTGGGTGGGCATGAGAGAAGCTATAGGTGATTTGAGGTTTCTTTGTGGTAGAGAAACCCCATCCCCTCCACTCCCAGTAAAAGCCACTAGCTCAACCTTAGAGTGCATGGTTGATCCGGCACCAGCATGAACTCCAAGTCCTCAACACCTCTGCTCTCTGCTTCTGGACAACAGTCTGATGCAGACAGGTGTGGGGCCCAGGCAGCAGCTGCCCTGGGGCTGGGGGGAGCCTGGGCCTCCCTGAGGCAGCAAAGCCCTGTGGACTCATAGGATAAAACCTTGTGGTAGAAGCCAACACTTGCCACCTCAACTCCTCCAGTGCCCCCACCCTGGCACAGGTCCCATCATGCCTGCTTCAACTACTACAGGGTCTCTTGACTGGCCCTCCTACTTCCACCTTTGCCCCTCAGTCTGTTCTCTTTACAGCACCCAGAAGGATCCTCTGCTCAAAACCGTCCAGTGACTCACCCCTCACTCATACAAAAGCCCAAGTTCTCACTATGGCCCACAAAGTCCTTCAGGATCAGGCCTGGCCAACCTCATCACCTCTCACACCAGCCTCTGCAACCACCCTTAGGGCACACTCCAGCCTCGATGCCTTTGCACTGCCTTTTCTCTGCCTGGAATGTTTTCCTCCTCACACATGATGGCTCCCTCACTTCATTCAGATCGTTGTTTAAATTTCACACTGTCAGTAATGTCTTCCCTGATTACGGCACCCAAAAGAGCCCAACCTCCCACTCCCGCAACTCTATCTCCTGTCCTTACTTTATTTTTCCTCACAATGCTCATTTTTAACTGACCTATTATATATTTCTGTTATCTATCTGCTTCCACTAGAAAGTGAGCCCCACGAGGGCAAGATTTGTCAGTTTAGGTCACAGCTGTACCCCAAAAGCCTAGAAGAGTTCCTGGCACACAGTAGATACTTAGTAATGTCTGTCCAATGCATGATTGTAAAAGTGGTGCCTATGACATGGCAGACATTCAGTAAACGGTTGTTGAATGAGAGAAGAAATCAACACATGCATGAATGAATGAATAAGTGAATCCCATCCAATTTTGATCCCAGAGCTGCCCTCTCCCCTATCCCACCTCTAGCAGCCCTGGGAGCCAGCCACCGGCACAAGCACAGGAACTTTATTTACAAACACAAGGCTGGAGCATGGGCCAGGTGAGAAGGTAGACATGGCAGGGCCGAGAGGCTCCTACTTCTGCTCCCGCCTCCAGACGATGACCATGCCGCTGGCGTCACTGGAAGCCAGCAGGCTCTCATCGCAGTTGAAGCTGACATCCAGCACAGGGGCGCTGTGGCCCTGCAGCTTGTTGACTGCAGCCTTGGCTGCCCGCTCGATATCAAAGAAGTGTACGCACATATCCTCGCTGCCCGTCACTGCCCAGGTGAGAAGGAGAGGCCATCAACAGGTGTTGTAGGAGATGGGGTGACCCAAGTATGAAGTTTCTGAGGTGACTCAGGTGTTGAGGGAGTCATGTCCAAGAGTGCCTGGGGGGTGTCTAGGGGGGCCCATCCCTAGATGAGAGGTTAAATAGCTGTTTTGGTTCTGTGTCTAGAGAGCGAGGTCTCAGATCTTTGGGAGGTGTGTCACATGCTGTCAGGTGTTTGGGCTGGTTTGGGCTCTGTGTTCAAAGTGGAAGGCTGCTGGGGTGTGAAAGGTCTCTAGGCCCAGTAAGTCAGGACACCAAGGTGCCATGATGTCTGAGCCAGATCAGCACCAGCCCTAGTGTCTGCTACTCCCTAGCCACCCAGATACCCCAACCCTATGGGACTCACCCACACAGGCCCCCTGGCGGAAGGACATGAGGGGGCAGAAGATGCTACGCACGGGGTGTGAGCTCTGCTCAATGGGGAAGCTTCTCTTCAGCTGCAGGGTCCCCTCATTGTCCACCACCCTGAGGGGAGAATGAGAGGGGGTCAGAGTGCAGCTTCAACCACAGAGAGGGACGCGTAGTACGCTAGTCTGTGTCCCTGCCTTGCACTTGAGTTCTTTTCAAGGTTCATGAAATCGTTTTGAGACAACTGCATAAACCTGTAAAGCATGGGCTGGTGTGTGGTTTAGTGACAGTTTGGACACTATCTGTTCCTATAAATGGGGAGCCTCTGCAGTGTAACTCACTAGTTACTCTTCCTAAGAGTCTCTAAGAGCTCTGGCAATCAGATGGGCACAAAGAGAAGAAAAGGCTGACCAAACTACAGTACCCCTTTATTGTGGATACCACATGGCCATTCAAAGGAATGAATGGAAGCTACTGCAGGTGACCTATGGCACGTCCATGGGCATTGTCTGATGAGAAAAGTGAGATGTGGGAAAGGATGTAGAAGGAACCCACTTCTGTAAATCAGTGACCCTCCCTCAGAAATGTGTGGGTGTGTGCACACCAAGGACTATGGGAGAGGGAACAGAGTGTGGAATGGTACATGCGAAGTCGGTAACATACTTGACTGTGGCAGGGGGAGGCCAAGGTGGCAGGAACAAGGAAGAGAGAAGGCAGAAGATGGGGGGAAAAGGCAAAAAACTTAGGAGTATGCTTAAATTAAAAATATAAGTTTGTGTGTATAAGTTTTTTAAAAGGAGAAGAAAAATAAAATAGTAAAATGGTAAGTATCCTGTCAGGCAGTGGTCTTCAGACCTGGCTGGATGACACTTGGGGAACTTTTTGATATAACAATGCCCAGCCTGCCCCAGAGCTTCTGAAATCCCTGGCCTGGAGTAGGGCCTGACCATGACTTAAAAAAAAAGAAAAAAAGAAATATATATATATAATTTTTTTTCTTTTTTTAGAGAGAGAGTAAGGGAGAGGGATAGAGAGACAGAAACATCAATGAAAGAGAAACATCAGCTGGTTGCCTACTGCATGGCCCCTACTGGGGATCGAGCCTGCAACCCAGGCATGTGCCCTGACCAGGAATCCAACTGGTGGCCTCTTGGTTCATGGGTTGATGTTCAACCGCTGAGTCACACCGGCCTGGCCTGGCTATGACCCTTCAGGTCACTCCAGCATGCGGCCCAGGCTGAGAACTGCAATTGGGTAACATGACATATGTGAGTGGGGACATATGTGAGTAAACTCCCTGCCTCAAAAAAAAAAACAAAAAGGAAAACAGATCACTGCTAGAAGGGGCTCTAGTCCATTTTATGTCTCAGTTTGCTCATCTATAAAATGGACATGATAACGGCACCCCCTCACAGGGTTGTTTATGAGGATTAAATGACATGATACATATTAAGTGCTCTGAATAGGACCTGGCCCCAGCAACTTCTGCCTAAGTGCTAGCTATTGCTATTACTATTACTGCTACTATTAAGGTCATCATATTATGATGAGGACAAGACAGAGGGAGAGGAGACTGCACCTCCTCGCTCAGTGAAATTAATCTGATGAAGGAGACAGGCCTCCCTTCCCAGTATGATGGAGGTAGCAGGCCCTACATCTCCAGGTGGCTAAATAAGGGAGACACACCTGTAGAGCAGCAGCTTGTTGAGGCAAGCGTTTATGAGTAGCGAGGGGTCCCGGGCCTCGCGGCTGACCCAGGAGCGGGCAGAGATGCTAGTCACCGGGCTACCCTCATGTACCACCAGACGCTTAGCTTTGGTCAGCTTCCCTGCAATAGAGAGGAGGCAAAAGTAAGGGCGAGGGCTGTGTACTAGGAGGGTGGGAGTGCGAGCACTTAGATGCAGGCCTGGGGCCTGCCTACCTGTGGCCATGTCGAAGAGGAAGGAGAAAACACTGCCTCGGTCATCGCCTGCCCAGAGCAGCCGGCCAGGGGCATCAAAGGATAGAGCGAGGACACGGCCTGTCAGCTTGCTGGAGCCACCCTTCACTTTCTTGCCCGTGGAGATGTTCATGACATGCACATTGTGCTTGGCATTCCCCACCTGTGGGTGAGACCCGCACACCATCATCCTGCTCCCAGCCAGTCCCTCCTGACCACTATGGGGCTGCTATTAATGGGACCCACTTCTCTACTGGCATCTAATCACAGTAGGGATGTGGCAGGTAGACAAGAGGTGACTCAGGCCTGTAATCCTCCCAAGCCAGCCCCTTCTTGTAATCTGACCAGAGTAGACAGCTGCTACAGGGACTACAGGGGTCACAGACCCATAGTGTTGCCCCTCAGCCAGTGCCCCCTGTGCTCGGCAAAGCACAGGGCCATCCTAGGTCCATGATAATAACTCCTTGGCTGGTCCTTCCTGGAACCTTGATTACACTGGGGCTGCTACAAGGACTACAGGGGTCACAGACCCATAGTGACCCCTGAGAATAGGATCCCAGAGAATAGGCTCACTCAGCCTGTTCCTCCTCTACTCACCACTCAGGGCCAAGCCAGATTTTTCATTTCCTTCCCTCATTGCCCACCCTCTGACTCTCTATCCTGAGGTCAGACCACAGTGGGACTTCCACTGAGATGAGAGGAGGTCTCCATCTAGTAATCCTGCTCCCCAACCAGCAGCCCCTGCAGTTGGAAAACAGTAGGATTACTGCTGATGGGACCAAAGGGGTGGCAGACCCATGACCCTACCCCTTGAATAGTCACCCCTGGAGTCTACCACAGTGAGGCCATCCCAAACCAAGAACTGCGTGTCCCCCTTCTGACTTGTCTTCCTCTAAGTCTGACCACCAGGGGACTGTGGTGATGGACTAGGGGGGGACCCCCATATTGATGCCCTTGAACAGCCCTCTTGGCCCAGCATCCCTGCCCTCAGCAAGTGGGCACCCTCTGGAGCCTGACCACAGTGAGGTTGTTGTTGACTGGCTGGAAGGTGCAGCAGAGCAATTCAGCACCATCGGGGTCAGGGATCTCCCGGATACAGCGGCCGTCATCAGAGGCCCAGATGCGCATGGTAGCATCGAGTGAGGTGGACACAAGGATGTCATTGGAGAGGGACCAGGCGAAATCAGACACCCCTCGGGTGTGACCCCGCAGCACTCGGAGAACGGTGGGAGGAGCAGGAACCAGCTGGCACAGTGAGATGCTGCCGTCGAGTGAGCAGCAGGCTAGGCGGTGCCGGTCGTCATTGGCGAAGCGCACCCTTGGGACTGCAATGCCAAGAAGCCACTTGTGGGAGTCAGCACACTCACCAGGTGCTTTTGTTTATATAAGGTTCTGATTTGTGAGCCGAGGGTGGGAACCCACCATACCAGGCACAGTGGCCTCAGCAAAGGGCTTTCCTTGACTGAGAAAAGGAGCTGGACCCCCAGAAAGCCCTTTGCCAAAAGCTCTCTGCATCTTAGCAGGTGCTTTATGGATTGCAAAAGACTTCTGCAATGTGAAAAGGCCTCGTCTCAGCAAGCACTTTACAATTACCAAAGTCTTAGCAATTTGCAAGACTCACTCTGTCCTTTGCAAGGGGATTTCTCTGCAACAAAAGCTTTGAACTTGTTCAAGCTACTCATGACCTCAGCAGCCTTCTGCAAAAGGCTCTTTTAAGCTGCTGAGCCCCTTTAGAGTAGACAAAATACCCGAGATCTTGCAGACCACTTTGCAGAGGGCTTTTAAGTATGTGAAAGGTTTTACATATGGCAATTCCTCCTTCGGAGGTGGGCCAGAGACTGCGTTCCAGAGCAGGATACACTGGGTGGTTGTCACAGTTTGGGCAAATTCCTGGTGATAGGACCTGCCATCTACTGGCTCACCTGCCTCGTCCACGTGCTGGTCAAAAACATGGTACATGCCCGCAAAGGCGTAGTTCTCACTGAGCGATGTGTCCCCAGCCATGGCTCGACTTGCTTCTGCTGCTGACGTGGGCACCACACTGCCGGGGGGCCTGGGCCCCAACAGGAGTAGGAGGTGAGAGGAGGTAGGTTCTAGCATTCAGCCTGCCATTGCCCAGTGGCTCCTCTCCTTCTCACAAACTCCCAGCCCTGAGCTGCCCCTGGCGCATACCTGTCCTCATAGACAGCACGATTCATCTGTGCTTGCAGCTGATAGGAGCCTCGGCTGACAGAACGGCGGTGTCCACGGGCCCCCAGGGCCCGAGGATCATCCTCAAAGTCCTGCAAACAGAGAGGGTCAGGGTGTGTGCATCTTAAAAGCACCTCTCAAGAACCTATGAGGTCCAGCCCACCCGGCGTGGCTCAGCGGTTGAGCATCGACCTATGATCCAGGAGATGGTTCGATTCCCGGTCAGGGCACATGCCCAGACTGTGGGCTTGATCACCAATGGGGGCCGTGCAAGAGGCAGCTGATCAATGACTTTTTCTCATCATTGATGTTTCTGTCTCTCTCTCCCTCTTCCTTCCTCTCTGAAATCAATAAAAATACATTAAAAAAAAAAAA